AAGACTACCATATTAGGAGTAATGGACATGGCATTCTTTCATGATACTGGATACATCAAAGGATCATTGTCAACATGCAGGTAGGACCTTAAAATGCCTTTACAGCCAACAGCAGGTGGGTTAATTGATTTTTTTTTTAGCTTAATACATTCTTCCCTGAGAACATTAGCTTTTGTGTATATTAGGAATATGCTAAATCAATACATAATAGTAGTAATAGTAAATAACTTTTCTTGAAAGCATGATTTTTAAAATCATGTATTCATTTCTGTGTCTTTTGCAGACTGACAGGAAATGTTCAAAGTTAAAAGCTGTATTCATTTTGTATAAAAAGAAGCCACATGGTAGATACAAAATCTTCAGGAACATAAATAAAATAAGTAAGTTCATTATACAGGTCATTCAGAGAGAGAGTAACAGAGATGAGTTGAGAAGTGGGTAATTATATTCCCCCATAAATGCAGAGAATAAATTTGTGCATTCTGATAAGAGCTTATCCATTGTTAACCTAATTGCTTCTACAGTTGGTCACAAAGCAGGACCTCCAATATTGACATAGAACCGCAGGTGAGTTGGAATGGTGGATCGAGCATTGCTATGACTGTTGAAGAAAGAGACAGAACAATCTGGAGGTGGAAAGATGTCTCTCAAGGACTGGAAACCAAAGAGAAGTTCTCTGGATGCTAAGACCTGTTTTCCACACTGGAAACCAGGGAAGCTTTGGAGGGGAAGCGGGAGAAGGGGGATGCGCTGGCGACGCGCTTGCTCATGGCCCTTGCTCGCATGCTCAGGCTTGTGTTGACTGCCATTTTTGGAGTAGGGAAGGAATTTTCCTCCAGGGCAGATTGGCCTGAGCTCCTGGAGGTTTTTCGCCTTCCTCTGAGCATTGAGCAGGGGTCACTTGCTAGGGTAATCAACACAATAAAATAATACATAAATAGCTTAATAAAAATCAAGATAAATAAACCTAAATAAATAAAAACAAAATAAATACATTGATAGGAAATCAATTTTTGTCTCCTTTGATTTTTTCATTTAGTACTATCGTTTGCTGTGGCATGGAATCCATGACAACATGGCTTGCTGTGCAGCCAGTGAATTAACTGATATTTCATTACAGCATTTTAACCAGTTCTTCAGCCAAAGAGCCTCCCCCAACTAGTCAGCCATGGCCAACGGGGCAGTTCCTCCCTACAGGCTTACAGTCCAAGCAAAGGGATGAAGCAGAGAATGAGCAGATTCAGGCAGAACAATGTCTCAGTGAACAGCTCAATCTGAAATAGCTTGGGAGAGAAGGCAAACAAAGCTGGTGTGTGAAATGAAGCCATGGCATGGCCTGTGCTTCCCCTTCATCTCCCTGCTGTGGCTGCTGTTAGATGACAGTTTAAGGAGACCTCTTGTCAGAAGTGATGGAGTGTGGTTTTACTTCTTTTTACAGCCAGGTAGAGTGGCAGATATATCAATCAGGCATATCTGCATTGAAATTCGCAGTTTTATCTAGATTCTAAGAAAGACAGCGCCTCTGTCACAGTACAGAGGCTGTCACAATACAGAGGCTGTCACAATACAGAGGCAGGGCTGGCCCAAGGCACTTGTTTGTTGCCCATGGTGAAAGACAGGATGGCCCTGCAACTTCAGATGCTGCAGAGGATGTGGGTGAACCAGCAGGGGCAGAGAACAGAGGGAAGTCATTTTTAGGATGAAGATGTTAACATTAAATAGTTAATGGGCAAGTTCACATGATCAAGCAGCCCAGCCATGGTGGTGCGTGGTATGTGCAGGTGGCCATTTTGAATATTCAACTCATGACCACAATTTGCCATGACATTTAAACTCAGTGAGGGTAGGTTGTTGCAATGGTTAATGAACTAGTCAGAACACAGGAGCAGTTCTAGGCCCGTGGGTTGGTGGTTAGCTATGCTAGCTGCCAACAACTTTCCTTAGCTGGATTTAGCAAGGTTTGACTGTGGATTCATTATTCAAAGAAGCCCAACAGATCTGGTGATTGTACAAACCATGTCTCTGCATCTTAACAATCATTAGTTTATTTGGAAGGCAAGCCACCTTGAATTCCACAGGGTTTTATTTCCAAATAAGTGTAGTCAGGAACACAGTATTAGCCAAGATGCTTCACAGGGCATAAGTTGTATTGAACTTAATCCAACTTATTTCTGAGTAGTCTTGCAATAGTAGGGCTTCAGTTTTATACATCAGCGAAATGAATTATCCAACAGAGGCGATTCTCATATATTCATATACATCATAAGGCAGGATTGGGTCACCAGAGCAGGAAAAGATCATCTGGATCAGACCGAAAAGGGTCCTGGGCCACCAGCTTCTGCTTCCCACAGCAGTGAATCCTGTGAGACTATTCCTGCCTAGCAGGCTGCAGTTCCCAGGCCTGGATGTCCACCCTCTATTCTGCAGGAAGGCCTAGCACAGCAGCCTGGAGTTCAAATCAGGATTGCTTCCTGCCATCTTACAAGACCTTGACATGCCACAAATACCATTGTGAAATTCACGTTGAATAACTATGATCTCCTACAGTTTGGCTTCAGAGTTTCCCTCATGGCAATCTCTATGCTTGTATCAGCCATGGCAAGCCTCCCTGGGCCATGCTCAAATCCATTCGTGGGCCTTCCTCCTGGCATGATCCCACCGAGCCTGTTCTTTAGGCTGCTCTTAGTCTAGGCCTCCCTCACTCCCTCACTCCCTTTGGCCTAGGCAGCAATTTGGACTGCAAGTTTCGGAACATGCTCATCCATGAAGCTCACTGGATGACCTTGGGCCAGTTACAGACTCTCAGCACATCCTCCATTGCAGGGTTGCTGTTGTGAGGACAAAATGGGGAAGGGGCTCTTGTAAGCCTTTTGGGTTCCTTGCAAGAGGAAGAATGGTAGGGTGTAATTATGAAGTCATGTCATCATCACTACCACCCTGATTTCACTCAGGACTGTGCTGTCCCAGGAGCAGATGGTTAACACCTCTCTCTCTCTCTCTCTCTGTCCTGCCATTGCATAGCTTCCACCTTCTGGGGAGGGAATTGCCAAAATAAACTCTCCATTCTAGTTGTGTTCTTTTTAAAACCCTCACAGTGATAGCATTGTGGGAAGGCAGCTGGTGTATTTGGGGGAGGGTTTAATCTTCTCCTGGAATTCCATAGTCCAATCCAAAATGGGGCTCTGTGCACTTACACAGGAGTAAAACGATGACAGAGGACCGCCCCCCCCCCAATACAAATATTGCAGGCATCACCTTTTAGTATGGAAACATGGGATGACATTGGACAACTACAGGATACAAATGATGGCATGTGGACAGTCCAAATATAATCCTGCTAAGAAAGCAAGCTGATAGTATCTTAAAGTTTACATCTGGAAGAGCCCTTCCTGATTACTACATTTTGCTGAAGGATGCCAGACTGCTTTTTTATGTAAATAAAGAACCCATTTGCTCTGTTCTCAGATTATGACTTACTCTCTAGTTACACTCTGCCTACCTAACAAATATACACTTGGATATTCCATGCAAATGAACAGCTGTGAAAGTAAGTAGCTACCAGCTCTTTCTTCTTGACAGTTCTGGATGCTCCATGTAACAGGAAGTGGGGGATGTACAGGAGGAACACTTGCTCCATGGAACCTGCTCCGGGGCTTCAGCTAGGGGGCTGCTTTCCTACAGTCCACTGCAGTTTGGACCCAAAGTGGAGCCTCATTTCCGCCTTTTGAAGCTTCGGATGTCCCTGCATTGAAAGACTACCTGGAAAGTGCGGGTGTCAGTGTTGGAAGGAACTGCTCAGAAGGAGCATACTGGGGCAGCTCTCACAGTCCTGATGAGGCTCCTGAGCGCCTGCTCACATTGACAGTGGTGATTAAATAGGCAAAAAGAAAGTAACCTGAAAAAAAGTGTGTGTGTTGCGGGGAGGGGAGTCTACTGCACCTATGGGCAACGGGGTCCTTGTCTGGTGTGGGTGCAGCCCCCAGCCATTTTCAGAGGAGCGGCCTTTATTCCCCCAGTGGACAGCCGTCCCTATACACACCTTCAGAGCATATCCAAGTCTGGTCCTGAAAGCAGCCCTATTCCGACTTATATTATACAACATGTTGAGGATGAGGGAACACTTTCTCCATTGCAAGTAGTCATTGATCCTGTTGGGAGAAGGAAGAATCACCATTAGGATGAGCTGCTTTATAAGTGCCTTTTGTATAAGCCAAGACGCCATGAAGCATGCCTACTTCATTTCTGTGAGATGGCTGCAGGAGCAGGGCCAGAGGAAAAGTGGCAGCGCTGGTTGAGAAGGAGAAGAATGTGATTGTGGCGGGATGAGGTGGGTTCTGGATGGCGTACAGGACAAGAATTCTTGTTGTCTGAGGCAGGATGTGTTAGTATGTGATATTTTAAGTGGGGGACTGGGGAAAATTGAGCTGGGCTGGATCGGTCTTGGAAATTGCGGGTATTTCATGCTTGGAACTGTGCTTTTGTTCAAACACTGACTGGATAAACCATGGGTCCTCAAACTAAGGCCCAGGGGCCGGATCCAGCCCACCATGCCCATTTATCCAGCCTGCCATGCCCATTTGGACCCGCCGCACTCACACCCATGCACGAGCCCACCGCCGCCCACCTCTCCCCGTGTGCAAAAATGATCTCCAAGTGAGCAAGCTGCTGCCTTGTGCGCCTGCCTCCCCTCACCTCACCTTGCCACGCACCCCGTCCCCACCTCAGCGCCCGCACACACCGCCCTGGCCCCCTCACCGGCCCGCATGCACCGCCAGCACCACCTTTCCAGTCCACGAATAGCACCAGCACCTTTCAACTGGCCCCCTGCTGAAAAAGTTTGAGGACCCCTGGGATAGATTAAAGCAGCAGAATGTCTTGGTTTCCATTTTGTTTCATCCAAAATCCAAAGAACACCTGTGCTAATTTCAGGTGGGGTTATAGAAAGCTACTAGCGCAAAGGAAAGAATATGTCAAGATGCACACTAAGTGTTATTTAATTTCTAACCTTTGCTGGTGACTGTTTTCTCGGCCTCTTTCTTTTGTTCTTCCTCCAAAGCTTTCATTTTTGCATCATATGTCTCTGCCAGGGCTTTCCACTCGTTTCTGTTGTTCAGCAATCTTTCATACATTGGCTGAATTTCTGTATGGAAGCGTGAGAATTCCTGAAGCAAGCAATAAAAAGCAGCAGAAACTCAAAAACTGAACTGTTACTAAGGCTTCTAGTAGGGGGAGGATGTGACTCTCTTACCAAGTCACCAATCTTTCCCACTGGTTGTAAAACCTATTCTTTCCCCTTGTTCATTTATATATACCTTTAGCCCCATTTCTGCACTTGCTCCATGCCCGTGAAAGTTTGAACAGTAGGAGCAACATCACTTTTAAGCCCAGTAATTTTGGGGTAGATTTTTATCACCTGTCTGCCTCTCTGTGAAATGCCTCTGAAAACTCTGTAATGATGAACTACAGTGCTTGGTATATAATTCTATGAAAGCACTTCTCATTCCTCTTGAAGGCTTCCCTTGGCTTGCATCAACACTAGGGTCCTTCTCTTAGTTATGGTGAAGTTCTCTTAGTTATGTTGATCCATTCAACAGTGTTCCCTTGCACTGTTAATAAATACCTTCCTCCTTGTAAGTTTCTTCTTTTATTTCTTCCCATTCAATGTGGCCAGAGGGTTAGTGATAAACTGTCCCTTAATTATTCCTGTTTCCAAAAGTAGTGGAGTTTTAATTGCTAGTTTCCTTTCATAGGTTTCACCTTTCTTTTAAAGTAAAATAATGCACCATTAATTGCATCTACATAGGTTTGTCCAGCAGAGCTGTTTCCAGTGAAAAAGAATGTATTACAACAAGGACTGTCTGAAAAGGAACACTCAGTTTTGTTGCACTTTTGCAATTTGTTTCATCCAAGTGAGTATTGGGCACTAAGTGTGCCATGTTTTGCACACTTCCTAGAGTGTACATGTTGTTGTTGTTAGTTGCGAAGTAGCGTCTGACCCATCACAATCCCATGGACAACATTCCTCCAGGCCTTCCTGTCCTCCACCATCTCTTGGAGACCACTTAAGCTCATCTAGCCACCTCATTCTCTGCCGTCCCCTTCTTCTTTTGCCGTCAATTGTTCCCAGCATTAGGCTCTTCTCCAGTGAGTCCTTTCTTCTCATTAGGTGGCCAAAGTATTGGAGTTTCATCTTCAGGATCTGGCCTTCTAAAGAGCAGTCAGGTTTGATCTCCTCTAAGACCGACCGGTTTGATCTCCTTGCAGTCCAAGGGACTTGCAGGAGTCTCCTCCAGCACCACAATTGAAAGGCCTCAATTCTTTGGCGCTCAGCCTTCCTACCATTGGCAATAAGCAGGACTTCTGAGTAAATGCATAGGATTGGGGGGATACTGAGAGTAAGGTACTGTGGAAGTCAAGGAAACTGTACTGAATGGGGTATACTCCCAGGCTGGTGTGCACAGGGTGTGCAGTTGCCTAAATCTGGTTTTCTAAATCATATTTTAATATTGCCTCCCAGCATCCTTGGAGCAAATAGAGATGTTGGTGTAGAAAAATGTCACCTCTAATTCCACATCCTTAGCCTACACTCTTCAAAGCATCTATGGTCACAGACAAGGGGGTTGTGTGTGCCCTCTGCTTACCTTATACACGAATGTGCAGACAAAATCAATGAAACCAACTTGAAGTTTTGGGAGCTCAGCAGCTTTCCTTCGGTCCATCATAGGCTAGGAGAAAACAGCAATAACGTTTTGAAATCATCCTTCCTGAGTATTGTCTCTTTGCTATGCTCTAGTGTGGCCAGGAAGATCAAGCTAGAGTGATGCTGATATGTTCACACTCTGTTTTCAGTGGCTCCCATTAAGTTCTGTGGGACAAAGTTAAGAGCTACAATCAGCAAGACTGTTGGGGAAGGGGCAAAACTGGCATTTCTTGAAAAATGAGGTAATCTGTGTCAGGTTTAGTCCATACTACCTCAGAGGTGTTTCCAAATATTTCTTTTTACTGTCCTCCTAGATAGGTAAATGGTTGCCATTTACTTCTGTGGGGAAAAGGATACCATGCAGTAGAGGCCTGAGCTACTCTATATTTCTGACACTAGATGATGAGGCTTCCATTTACATGATCCTATAGTCAGGAGCACAAGGTGTCTTTGTAATATATAAGCTCATTCTTCTCATCCCATTTCTCTCCCCATTCTCCCCCCTTGTTTGTTTATTAGATTTTTAGCCCACCCCATTAGCCACAAGACTCTCAGGGCGGGTGATGATAATGATGAACATTTTGCTATTCATCAGAGAAGCTTGGAAGAATAGGTTGGACACAAGGGGCTTTTCTACATGAGTCTGTTAATGAACTGTATCTACTTTCAGTTGTCACACAGAACTGAGATCTGAGCAATACATAAGCCATTTTCCTTTTTCTGCTTTTTGGCTATGGAACCCCTGGGTGGCAGTGTGGTCTAGCAAAATAGTGCATATATTCAAAAGGAAACCATGCTTTCTTTCACATTCATAGATGAATACTACATTTTCCCTGCTCTTAAAAAGGAAAAAGTGTAGTAACTGCTGATTACACACAGAGGTGAAATTGGTGGGCCATGACATACTCTGCAGAACTCATCAGCAAGCATCAGTAGGGAATGCTCAGTACACAATTTCTTTATTTAGAAAAGCCCAAGGTAGCCTTGCCCTTCTCAAACCTGGAAGGAATACTTGGAGTAAAGATGGAGTGGAGAGAGCAGAACAGATGACTTGGTGAATTATTTTTGGTGGTCAACTTACGATAGGCTGTTGCTGAAGTATAGATCTCTCCATATCACCCTGTTCCCAGAATTCAGCTGCCACAAGCAGTGCCACCTGTAAAAACACACACTAAACCTTGGGATATTTTCATTTTAGGAGCTTGCATCCTGGATCAGAAATGCCCTTATCAATATCACTGCTCACTTCAGAAGCTCTCTGTGTGTATAAAACATATTTCAGTGGTGATTTCCTTGCTTCTATTTTTTGCTTCCAGCTTTTATAGATTAAATCATGATACATCAAGGAAGTCAATAAAAAATCTCTGCAGACTAATAGAAATAATATCACATCTTGTGTTTGGTTTCTTATTAGACAAGGCAGACTCCCTTAATCTGAATGGTGTTTTTCATATTAAAAAAGATATACACATCATATCTGTTAGGCTGCCTTGCATTTAAATTTTATTGACAGCAATACAAACACACACATATATAGTAGGACCCATATATCCTCAGGGGATAAGTTCCAAGCCCTCCAGTGAGCACCTGAAACCACAAATAGTAGCCACCTAGAGAACTTGTGGATAACATATAAATTTAAAAATAAATAAAAATAAATATACTGTACATTTAGCCCTCCACATTTGTGAGGATGAGGGGTACAGGACCTCTGCAAAAGTAGAAAACTGTGAATATCTCTATAGAGTCATGTGAGTGAGGCTGGCTAGTGCTGAGACAAATACTGCTGCATCCCCAAAGGGCGTAGTCCACAGTTCTTTAGGGTACCAAATCGCACAAATAATCAAATTTAGAAGAGTTAAACTCATGAAAATTTACTTTTTTTAGACTGCAGCCAACCACAGTTAAGTGAAAATGTGGAAATTGAAACAGCAGATACAAGGGGTTTACTGTATATACAAAAGATTCAGCTTATGGAGGACTACAAGTGAGTGGGTGGAAGAAAGTTAAATATGAACAGCAGCAATAACAACACAATTGCCCCCCTTTCCCCACTGTTAGTATTTGGCTTGTTGAGACAGGCATCTGTCTTCTGGTCAAGTCATTTTGCGAAACACTGTACGGAGCTGTGAGAAAACAAGTTTTTAAAATTGCATGCTGAAGAAGCCTAGGACTATGCCCCATGGTAAAGAGCAGCCACTCCATATCAGACATCTGACCTTACTCTGTATTTCCCAGGGCTTTGTGATAGCAGACAGGTCACAGGCAGTCATCATCATGGCCCTGTGGACGGAAAAAATGAAGGGAGGGGAAGAAACAGGCAGGGGAACTGTGCAATTGCATTAATCCTGCTCCAAGGGCACTTTCCAGATAGTCCTTAATAGCACCACTGCTCTTCCTCATATTCATCAAATATTGCAGGGGGCCCAGACAAAAATGTATTCTACCACTTTCCCCACCACTTTCCCCATCTTTTTTCCTTGCCATAAAAAGAACTGGAAAAGAATTGCTGTGTTTCTGTGTAACACTTTCTGATGATGCCCCGGTCTGGTACTGTTATTTTGTGCCAAATAAAGTTTGCAAGAAGCCTTCAAAGGCTACAACAATAAGAAAGCATCAAGGTTGTCCAATCCAATAAAATGACGAATCTGAAATTTTGGATCATGAGAGAACTGCCGAGTAGGATGAAGGGGCATTTAAACCCAGACATAGAGTCATCAGAGCTGGCGGTCATTGCACAGCAAAATTTTGTATACATTTTCTTATATCATTTTACTTTAGATGTTTTGTTGTTATTGAGTTGCAACTGAATGCAGTAATCTATCATGTGACCAGTTAATATGGTTGTCTCTTTTGACCTTGTACCAAAATCCCCTTAATCCTGGGTTTATAGTTCTTAGCAAAGGCTTAGTGGCTGTGTGAGCTTTCATGCCTATTTTAAATGTACAAGAGGCCCTACATAGTGCAGCCCACACTACTGTAAAGCGTTGCTTTAATTCCTTAAGATGCAAGCCCATCAGGAGCAAATTAAGCATGAAGTTGCGGAGTGTGCAGTGGCTAGAAATGTCCTTCAGGGCTCTATTTTGAATCCTCAACTCCAGCTTGAAGGTCTGCTGGACCCTAAAGGCGGCAGCCACACTGATTCAGCTAACCCAGCAGGATTACTAAGAAGTTTGTCCTGCTCTGAAATGTGTCTCTTCCTGGGAGAAAACCATTGAGGCCAATTCAGTCGCCCAGGGAAGTGCGAGTCTTCATGGTTCTCCGACTGGGATCCTGATTCCCAATGATTCTTTCCCTGCTTTTTGCACAGTGTATGCAGAATTGTAGTGTTACACTCACTTGCCTGCCTCCCCAGTATATTACCAAGAAGCTTGTCTTCAAGGGCTACTCACAAATAATGTATGAAATAGTATGCTTTTTTTTTTTTTTTTTGCTTTTAATCACCATTCTTCATGTGTTTGGGCAAACTTCTTAAAAAATTCACTTACATGATAATCTCTTTTCTTGTGGCTTCTAGAGACAAATATTCAACCCACTCTTTCTCACTGTTGTAGGTTTTGGATTCATCCACAATTTTCTGAAACATTGTTCTCTTTCTTTAGAAAACAAAATTGTAGATAGAAAAAAGTTTAAACCTATTTCTGTCTATCAGGTTTTAAAGAAATTCATGTTAGCAACCCAATACTATGAGCAAACACTTTTGTTTCTTGCATTTTTAACCATACTGCTTCAACCTGGTTCAGCCAAGGCAGCTCACTTTGAATTCAAGGATTCTTAGGATGATATGAAATTAATTATGTCAAAAACCATATATAGTTGATTGAACACAACGGGATGAAATACAGATGCAGATTATCAATAAAAAATCCAAAACAAAAGTTTAGTCACAGGATTTCCCGATGTGACACAGCTCACTAGTCACTTGGGCACTTTGCGTGTTCCTGGATCCAAGAAGAAAGCCAAAGAAAAATGCCCTTGCTGTGGATTTTATTGAGTTGCTCTGTATATTTTTCAGAATATACCCAAGCTAGCCCCTGCTCCTGGGAGCCAAGGGAAAGAGGATGAGTGAAGGTCCAATTATCCCAGTGAACTTCAAGAAAAGGATGCATGGGCATCCTTATCTCAAAGATGAAGCAAGGAATTCACAGTGCCTTCCCATCCCTCACTGGTTTTTCATAGCAATGAAACCTAATAAATATCTGGGGCTACACTTAATGCCTTTGCTAAGCACTGGGAACAGTTCACACTTAACTCTTCATCATAAAGTCTTCTGGTGCATCCCAGTAAACATACCAACCAGGTTCTTTCTTGAAGAGGAAGAGGAGACAAATTGCTTCTCCTGTTTCTCCCCTCCTTCTGGTCCATGATCAAGCAGCAAAAAGCATCACTATAAACAAGAAACCACCTTCACCCTTTCTGCCAGGACAGCTGTACTGTTAGGCTGAAGGTTAGTGGCTGCTCCAGGTAGAAACTTCCTAAGACAGCCTTGAAAGGAACAGGGCACTAGGATTTTTTTTCTGAGGCTGCCTGGACCCACACTGAACACTGAGGGAAGGTTTTCAGACTGTGTCATTCTATTGCTCAGTCCTGTCCTTGATTTTAACTTGCCCCTCTTTAGTCAAATTGTTTCCCATACAAAGAACTGTGTGTTTCTGCTTATTTTCCTCCAAAGTAATTCCTTCAGCAATTTTTTGTGAGTTCTGTTTGCTAGCAGCAGCAGGAGGGTAGTTATTTCTGGAAGCAAAAAGTCAACAGAAGGGTATTTCCTAAGGCGACCAAGGGCCCCTGAGATACAATTTGCTCTGCTTTACTTGTTTGCCTCTACTCAGAAAGGAAGGAAGGAGCTCAGCCATTCTGAATTTCTGTAGCAAATGCACAATTACACAGCAATTGTAATGAATTACTTTTGTTACAAAAAATCTAAAAAATCAATAAATAATAAACTTACTTGAAGTACAATGCTAAGTCCGTAGCAATAATGGCAATATCCATCAAGTGAGTCACATGCTCAAACTGCCTCCTGTTGAGATTCTGATAAATATTCAGGGACTAAAAGGGAGAAATGTATAGACCAAAGCAGAAGATTAGTACTTGTTTGCCATATATTGTCTTGAAAATCACCAGTTACTTTCCGTAATAGTTTGCCTTAATGCTGTGTGTTGGTTCTTCATTCATAAAGCAAGAAGCTGGATATATAGTCTACTAGTGCTGTGCCACACATAGAAAGGACAAGTAAAATTAAAAATATATATTTATTGAAAAATGTTTATATCGCCCATCATCACCCTTTGAAGCGTGTAATTGAGGTATGCAACTTTCCAGATGCAAAGTGAAGATGTGAAGGGCATGTTGCATATGGCATTGACGTCGATGGGCTTAGGCACACTTAGTTCCATGCTGGGTTGTCACCCAATTCTTCTAAATGCTTTTGAAGCAGCAAGAGTGGTGGACAGGCACGAGGGTGCTCACAAGCAAATGTAGCACTGCATTCTCACCTCCTGATAGGAGAACCTCTGTTCAGGGCCAGTCAGGGTTTCCACTAGCCTTTCCAGTTGCCCATCTCAAACCCAGTGCTGCTCTATTTTCCAGCTGACGGTCAGCAAGGGATGCCTGTCAAGCCTGCTGACTGCTCATGGGGCTGCAGCTTTTGCAGGAGTTGACATCTTTGGTTTTCTTTTGAGATAGGAGTTGTTGTTGTTGTTGTTGTCGGGATTCCCCAGTGCATGTGAATACCTTCTTTTAGTTTCTCAGTTGACCCCCATTTTGGCTGTACTGCTGTAGTGCTTGAGTCTACTTGAGGCCACTATTAATGGAGTGAGTCTAATATTTATTTCCTTATTTCTTTATATCATGCCTTTCTTCCAGGTGGCTCACATAGGTATAGGTCATTTAGTTATGGTCACAGAAAATTAATAAACAGATTAAAATAGCAATGCAAACATTAAAACACAGTTTTATTTGTCAGCACCTCATCGTGCAGTGGAAATTCAAGGATTATTGGTAAAAACTTGGTGCACAAGGCCTGGGCGGTTCAGAGGCTGTTGTTGTTACGTGCCATCACACCGTCTCCAACTTACAGCGACCCCATGAGTCAAAGTCCTCCAAAATGTCCTGAGTGAGACAGCCCTGTTGAACAATTCTAAGTTCAAGGCTATGGCTTCCTTTATAGATTCAGTCTATCTCATTTTTGGTCTTCCTTTTCTTCTGCCTTCAGTTGTTCCTAACATGATTCCTTCTCATGTGTCCAAGGTATGACAGCCTCCGTTTGTTATTTCTGCTTCAAGGTAAAGCTCTAGCCTAATTTAGTCTAGGACCTGTAAGTTCATTTTACTGTCAGTTCAGGGTATTTGCAAAGCTCTCCTCCAGCAGCTTGTTTCCAACGCATCCACTTTCCTCCTATCAGTTTTCTTTACTGTCCAGCTTTCACAGCTATACATTGTGATTAGGAATGTGATAGTATGGAAGATCTTGGTCTCCAGTGAAACATCCTTACACTTGATGATCTTTCCTAGGTCCTTCACTGTTGCCCTTCCAAGTCTCAGTCTTCTTCATATTTCCTGGCTGCAGTCTCCTTTTCAATTGATGCCTGAGCCGAGGTATGTGAAATCTTTCACGATTTCTTCACTGTGAACAGTTTGTAATTCTTCTGTGGTCATATTTGTTTCTTAATATACACCTACTTTTGCACTTCCTTTCACTTTCATCAGGAATCATTTCAAGCCACTGCTGGTTTTTTTTTTTTTTTTTGCCAGTAGTATGGTATCATCTGCATATCTTAAATTATTGTTGTGTCTTCCATCAATTTTCACTCCTGCTTCAGATTCTAATCCAGCTTTCCTTATGATCTGTTCTGCATACAGATTAAACAGATAGGGAGATAAAATACACTTTTGTCTGATGCCTTTGCCTATAGGAAACCATTCTGTTTCTCCATATTCTGCCCTAAAGTAGCTTCTTGTTCATCAGGACATTCAAGTGCTAAGGCAGACCATTTCTTTCAGAAGCATCCATAGCTTCTCATGATCTACATAGTCAAAGGCTTTGCTGTAGTCTATAAAAAATAGACCGATCTTTTTCTGAAATTCCAGTGGCCAACATATATTAGCAATATGATCTCGAGTGCCTCTTCTTTTTTGGAATCCAGTTTGGACGTCCAGCATTACTCACTCCATGCAGGATAGTATTCTTTGTTGCAACACTTGGAGCATCATCAGAGGCTACAGAATTGGAATCTGGTGTAATTCACACCCTAATGTTGTCATGAAGTTGTAGTATGACTCTAGGTAAGTTAATTTTAGTCCTCAGATTACTGTTGATAAAATGGTACCAGTCGCAAAGCTATATGAAAGGAGTGTTTTGAAGGCCAGATTCAGGTACCGTCTGAAAACACTTCTGTACACAGACTTTCTCTGGCTTGTAATTAATATACTGCTGCTTAAGTTTGCAGTTTTTGCATTGCTTTTTAAAAATTGTTGTTGTATTTTAATTGTTTTAATAATGTGTTTTGAGGAGGATTGTTTATATTTTTATATGTAAACAGAGTAGAGAGTTTAGTATATTAAAGGCACAATCATATGCAAGTTTAGCCAGAAAAACGGCTTACAACTCCCAGCATGGTCCAATGGTATAGACCATTTTTCTAACTAAACATGTAACTGCACCTGAAGTGATATATAAGGAGCTTTTTGTGTGTATGAGTGTTTTATATATATAAAACTGTAATTGGTTTTGAAATTTTAAAAGGGTGCTTGTGTCCACCAAAGAATCAGCCTTAAAAACCCAAGATTTTCTTATGGTACAATTTGCGTCAATGAGTCAGGGGCAAAGAAAAAGCTGAATATATACTATTCACTGATTTGAAATATTTGAGCAACTGGAGGACATTATGACTCTTGGGTCCAGCATTATTTGTGCTTTCTGGTTACAAACCAACTAAATTCAAGCAATTCTTGAACTCTGAAATCAGTGCCACTTAACAATGCTTTGGAAGTGTAACCTCCTCTGGCAGAGTTCAGGCCTGGTTATTCTTGAACTGGTGTATGTATTGGACCCATCATTCCTATAAAAGAGGATAAAAGACTTTGGATGAAGAGGAAAAGGCAGTACCCACAGCTGAAATGCCAAGGCCAAAAACAAGCAAGGCAGTCACTGAGGATCAGACAGTTTCTGATTTTGTGGGAAAGTTGAGTGTGCAAGCAGCTGATATGGAGTGGGTGGACCTAAGGTCATCAAACTGAGAACCAGTTCAGAAGTATCTGATGCTCTCAGCAATTGGCCCTGAAACAGGAGGGCCCACCTTGAAGGGGTGGTTTGCTCTTTTCAGTTTGAAAGGGAAGAAGGATATTACATTTGGAGTCAGCTTCTTCTCAAAAAGCTGCATTTCCTAATGAGCAGTATTCTAACATCACTTGTTTCTGTTATTGACTGCTGAAATCCTTTTCATTTGTAGCACAAGGGCCAGCCTTGCAGTCATAACATAACAAATCCTTTTTAGGTAGAAAGCTTTTGTCCTCCTCTGCTTGGAAGAAGGAGAAAGGGAAGAATGGTCAGGATATTAATACCCTTAAATGAAGCTACTGTATGAAGTAGATAAGGTGAGGTTCCAAGGGAAATAGCCTCCTCTCATCTAGAAACTTGCCAGGGGGAAAACACTTCATGGAATCATAGGGTTAGAAGGGGCCAAGACGGCCATCAAGTCCAACCACCTGCTGGCGCAGGATGCCAAGTTACACCATCCCACTCAGATGACTGTGTATTTTCTTCTTGAATGTCTCCAGTGTGGGAAAGCCCAAGACCTCTCTTTGCAAATGGTTCCACTCTCGAATTGCTCTTCCTCTCAGGCAGCAGCACACCTGAATGATCTTGTGTTCATTCAGTAAAGCCAATTCAATAAAGCTTCACAGGTTGCTGTTTTCAATTATAGGAAAAACTTCAGCCTAACATTTTTATAGCCAACCGTAATTGCTAAATGGATAGTTAAGAGAATGTTCTTCATTCAGCACATAGCTTAACTGTGCAATTCACTTTCACAAGGTGTAGTGATGGCCACTGATCTGGATGGCCCTAGAGTGGGATGGAACAAGACATCTGGACAGTGTTACCAAGGGCTGCTAGTTCTGATGATTATTTGGTGCCTCCGGTATCAGAAGCCATGTGCCCATGTACACCAGGTGCTAGGGCAGGAGGAAGGTGTTGCACTCCAGTCCTGCTTGTGGGTTTCCTGGGGACAACTGGTTGGCCACCATGTGGACAGAACGTTGGGCCTAGATAGCCCTTGGCCTGATCCAGCCAAGCGTTTTGACAGTGTTAATATCGGAATATAGATGCAAATGCTTATTAACAAGACCTGTGATGATAAGCCATGTGATAGACAATTGTGTGGAAATCTATATATAAGGGTAATTCTGATTTCTTTTAAAATCATTTTGGAAAATGGATGATGTATTATGAATCCTGCCTGTGCTAGTTTGGGCACAGAGATTACCCCTCAGAGAACAGCACAATCCTTTTGCAGCATGTTCAAAGGGCTTCACATTTTTCTGTTCATCTCAAGAAAAGGGTACTTCTAAAATGAAAAATAATCATTCTGGAAAATGGTATCATGAATGATATTATGAATCTTTCTCTATCTATGCTAGTTTCGGTACAGACATCTCTCAGTGAGCAGCCCATCCTACCTCACAGGATTGTTGCTGTGAGGATAAGACTGAAAGCAGCAGGAGAAGAATGATATAAGTTGCTCTGAATTCTTTGTAAAGGAAAGAAAAGGGGAGGGGGGAGACAAAAGACAAATAAATATAATAAATAAATAAATGAAGGCCTGCTCATGATGCTTCACATTTTGCTGTCAGTTAGACAAGAGCCCTGAGGCATCGAGCCAAAGGCCTGCCTAAACTGGCATCCTGTTTCTCACAGTGGCCATGACATGCCTCTGGGAAGGCCCCAGGTAGGAGATGCTCCCCAGTGACAGGCATACAAAGGCAAGTTTCCTCTGGCTGTGATGGTGGAATGTGGCCATTCTAGCAGCAATTCTTACAGACTGGCAACAGAGAAGGAGAAAACAGTTGCTCAGAGAGGGGCTTGGAACTTCGAGCTCTTCTGTACCCCAGAACTGCAAAATGTGGCTATGCTGAAAGGTTGTTCTGTTTAAGGCCTAAGGAAGCTGGATATTGTTCTGAGGTATGTCTTATGTGAACAGAATGCATATTAGCAAGTGGAAGTTGAAACAGTCTGTGCATGTTGTTTGTTTTACTGGTGCCGTATTAACATGGAACTGAATAATGAAAGAAATCACAAAGTGAGTACATGCTGCCTATCATAATCTGAACTGGATGCCTTTCTTGCCTTTTGGGAGAAAAATTCTTCTGCACACCCCAAACTTGGAAAGAAGAGTGGTTTCTGACACATTATATTATTTTCTAATTTTAGCCCTGCACAGAGTAGTAAATCAGTGCTTAAACTACTAAATTATCCGCAGAGCTTTGGTTGGTATCCTTTGCAAATTACAGTTTCCTAGAAATAAACCTGACATAAATTAAACCAACCCTGACAGGAAAAAAGTGATCACAAACCTCTTCTGAGAGCAGAAATTTACCAAACTCCAAGTGGTGTCTCTCAAGAATTGATGAGCCATGAAGTTTTGCTAAGGGATGTTGAGATCTATAAGCAAATATTTTAGAACAAGGGAAAGGAAAGGAAAGGAAAGGAAACCAGACAGAGAACAATTAGAACAATGCCAAATGCTTAAAGAAGAATAAGTACATCTCTATTATGGTTGGACCAGTAGAACAAAAACAACAGTCAGCTTTTCCTTTTTCTTTTTAAAGCCAAAGAGCTGAGGTCTCACTGCAAATAACTTGACAGTGAAAACTATGCACAAAATGATTGTGACTTTGAGCAATGATATATATACTTACACGACCAGGATGGTTTACCACAACTTAAAACAAAAGTCATAGCTAAAATTGCAGATTGCAAGGAAAGCACACAAATACGTAAAATTCAGGAATTATTGGAAGGTGTACTTCAGGAGTGCAGAACCTCAGGTCCAGGGCCAGATCAGCCAACCAGAGAACCCCAGGGGGATATGTGCCCTTTCCCGGCCCCATCCTCTTCCCTAAACCACCAATTGTCTGATGGTTTCCTGGCTCTTATGCACTTTCCTTCCTTGTTCTAAAAGCTATATATGACTTTAGAAAGGCTTAGTTACTGGCAGTAAGTGCTTTAAGCTAAAAATATTCTGGTACATTTGCTGCTGCCACTTCTTTTCTGTTTTGTATTTTTGTTTCAGCCCTTTCTGTCTTCAGCTCTACTGGAATGCAGCCCTGAGCTCTTCTCCAAATTGGAATTTGGCCCTTGGGTAAAAATGATTTTGCACTGCAGGCATACACTTTAAAAGTCTGTACATCACTACACTGCAAATAATGTGTCTTGGGTACTTTGTAAGTATAATCCTTCATGCAATGACAATGAGTTCTGTGTCTGTGCAATGACACAGAATTCATGTGCAGAAACCTTTTAAATGGCTTTTAAAATGTTAAGATAAATTTATGGACGATAGATAGCCATTGTACACATGGTGGGTTTTACAGAGTTTCAAAATGAATGGGAAATATGGTTTTGGAGCCAATTCAAAGGTGTGCATATGACGTGTGGTACCCTTCCTCCAGCACTAGTAGCACAATATGAAAATAGCTATACCACTGTTTTGGGTGGTGTGGTCTACCAACACCAGTTGATTTGTCATTCAGCTAAATGACTGAGTCAACAATTATATTCTCACCACTTTGGAAAGGCCCCACTGGAATTTTCTGCTTCAGACCTATTTGGGCCACCTCTGGAGAAGGCTAAGCATGAAAACACTTCTTGATGGGTCAGATGAATCACATACTACTTGGCCAGCAAGGGAATGGAGCAGGCAGGAAAGTATTAACTCTCCTTCCCCTGAAAAGCATGGTCAGCTAGGTGCAGGCCTGCATCCTTCCTAAAGAGAAGGAATCCCCCTGAGACTTGGCTCCACTTTTCACTGAAGTGCAAGGTTCTGCACAATTGAACAGGCACTTGGACGTTTATTTATTGTATTTCTGTGCTGCTTTTTCCTTCCAAGAAATTCAAGGCGGATTTCATAAATCTCTCCCTGAGGTTTTCTCGTTGGCTGATCTGGCCTCACAACAACAACCCTGTGAGGTGGGTTGGGCTGAGAGTCTGTGACTAGCCTGAAGTCATCAAGTGAGCTCCATGACTGCATGGGGACAAGAACCCGGATCACCTGGGTCCCAGTCCCACACTCTTTACCACTGTACCACACTGGCTCTCAGGAGAAGACATGTGCTTCTCAAAAGAATATGTAAGTCAGAGGAACTAGAACTGAGATGTACGATCTGTAAAATCTGTACAGATTTTTAAATTTGGGGTGGGATAGGAATGGAACTTATACAGAATCAGATTCAGCAGGGAAGCACACTTACTGACTGGTGTGAAAGTGAGACAGAACAATTCCTCCTGTATGCAGAAGAATAATTTTAAGCTTTTGAGATGACCTAAAGATGCATAGCTTTTAAGAGAGAACTACCTACTTCATCTGATAAAGATTGTTGGTTCCTCGGTGATCGATATCATGGCACAAAGCAGCAGTCACCATAGTAAGTGCTTCGAGATCCGTGTAGTACCGCTTCAGATTGCCTGTCTAGACAGGGCAAAGGTCACATGGTTTGGTCAGTGTTTTTATAGGAACTTCAATCCCCTCTGCTAGTTACTAATAATCAAGACTGTACTTTGCCAAGGAGGTTCTGAAAACTTAAATGCTCGAGCTTTCAGTAATCAGCATCCCATTGTATTTTGCACTTAGCATTAACCGGAAGTGAAAAGAATAGCACTTCCAAGCCAGAAAACTTACACGAATCTGCCAAGGAAAAGATAACTTCATGTAGAAAGTTAGCATGTCAGGCAAGAGGATCCTAGCCTAGCCTTCATCTTAACATATCTGTTTTCTGTGCGTACACAGTTCTTTTTCTTGGAGCAGCATTCAAATATCCAACCCACACAAAAGTATCCTAGAATAATATTGTCCAGGGGAAAATTAGTATTTGATTCCACTGACTGCAGCCCCCCAGACTCTTTTGGATTAATGGGAAGATTTGAGTCTAGAAATTTAAGCATTCCATAAGTGAGAGTGAAGTCAGGAAATATTGCCTAGAAGCTGCTGCAGATACATTCATCTCTTATGCAAGCAAAAGATGAAGAATTGCATGACTTGCTTTTTTAATGAGCAAATTTTCAGGTTTGTAATTTAAGGATAAAGACCCTAACTCAAATAAGAAGGCAAGAGTTGTAAGAGAAAACAGCAGTTCTTCTACACTGAAGCAGTGACTGTCCACACAACATGATAACGCACTGTGGCTTAGCATGTTGTGCAGATCGGGACCCCTTCCCTCTACGCATGCCATGGCTTGTCCTAGGGATTGTTTTAACCATGGTGGGTTGGTGTGCAATCCAAATCTGGGCAACTGTTCCCATCATGTGCATACTTCTGATAAAGTGAACATAAACTAAGATGCACCTATATTGGCACACATTGGGAGCTGCAGGCAAATATTTAAAACAGGTTGCTACCATGGACAGTTCCTGCGAAACACTGCTTGGGCACTTTGAGGGAGCTGTCAGTGGCTGTCAAAACTGAGATCACAAAAGCTGGCTTTCTAGGTGGAGACTGTAATCTCCAAACAAAAAGGATAAAGAGGAAAAAAACCACAGCAAGCCAAAAGCAGCTTACAGACATGGCAGGGAGTGGGGAATCAAGTTGGTCCTGCCACAATGTCTCCTGGGATGCCCCCGGGAGGACCAAGAAGGAGGGATGGGGTGAATAATCCATAGAGAACCCAGTCATCTGCCAGGCATATTGTGGACGGTTCACAGAACATCCTTCCATGGCTCTTTGCCAGGATGGGTTGGAGTAAGGTGCTCATGTGCCCAATGTCTTGGAGAAAGATGCATGTTGAAAGAATTACCATGAGAAGTGTGAACATGGTTTGTGCAACGTTGAAGCCATGGCGCCAGTTGTGATAAGTAATCCTTCTGTAACCTTTACTGACAGAATAGATAAATCTTACCAGCACCTGTGAAAACAGAAGTGTTATGAGCACAGATTTTCCCATCTTTGTGGGAAAAACAACAGACTGGTGTCATGAAACCACTCAAAATCTCTCTCTCTCTCTCTCTCTCTCTCTCTCTCTCTCTCTCTCTCTCTCTCACACACACACACACACACACACACAGAGAGAGAGAGAGAGAGAGAGAGAGAGAGAGAGAGAGAGAGAGCGCGAGCCGATTCCTTCTGGCAGAGAGATTTCATACTTAAAAGGTTCGAAACAGCTGCCTTTCTTTCTAAAATACCACACATTTTATTTTATTTATGTGTTTATCTGGAAGACTAACATCACCACCTACTAACCAAAGTTTTTAAAGTGATTTACATTTATTGAGAATGTAATAAAATGGATGAGAATGATGAAGGAGGTGTGCAAGTATTCTTCCAAATCTTCAGACGATCTGACTGCTAAAGAACCACAGACCCAAGTTTCCACACCATTTTTCCAGGGCGCAAGGAGAATGCTGGCAACATTAAAAAAATATTGATATTCTTTCAGCAAAAGCCACTGCAGGGAGAGCCCCACTTCCCACCCACAAACATGTAGATTTTTCCTCTGATGACATGCAGACCTGGCTCCAAATCCAGCACTGATTTCTGCCCTTGAGGCACACTTTTGGCTTTTGTTTTATTTCAGAGAGTCAGCTTGTTTTCCCCGTGAAGCATTTATTTGGTGCTTTGTTTAAAACTTCAAATGCTGTTCTGCATGATGGTGGGGAAAGATCTCATTATTGTCAATTGCTGAATGCTGCCTCTGGCTCCCTCTGAAGTCTAGCTGGAAGGTCAGGTTGCGATTCGGATCAAGGAGCCTCATCATACAGATGGCTGATGGACAAAGGCTCCATGCTGTCCATGCAGAACAAACCTCATCCACAAAAGCTTTGCACAATGCAGGGCCACTAAGCAAAAGTGTCATGAAAGAAACTTGAGATAAAACCTGCTCTTATTGCCACAAACCTCCTGGTGCAAACTGAGGGACCCACACAACCCTGCCCACTGGCTTGTTTGTTGCCAGTCTCTTAGAGCTCTGGTCTATACAGAGTTGGACCTCCCTTTTCACTGAACATCTAACCTTTAGATCTCTGATTCCCAGCACGTCCTCTTTTTTCCCCGGAGCTTGCATTCCCATGGTTTCTGAGGGCCCTGTTTGTTCTTCAGCTGAGAAATTAGTGTGTACCCTTGATGATCCGGCAGCATCTTCCCCCTCCTGCTCCTCCACCATTGTCTTAACACTCATCTCCAAAGGTGTGGGGCACAAGCCCTACATTAATAGAGACGGCCAGTCTGCACTCTGCATGGGTAGCTTCTTGTGGAAACAGGAAGAGTTGGTTGCTTTGGAGCGTGAATCAGTTTGCACAAACATAGTTGAGTGCATAACCAAAGCAGTCTCACCAGCAATGGTACCTGTTTTCTGATAGGGATGACTGGAAACAGTGGCTGCTAGACTGAAGTTGTCACTTACCTCCTGCGGAATCTGGAACTTTTTCACCACTCCGAGTTCATAGTACATCTGAATGCCACATTTCACAAGCTCGAGTTCAGTCCTTTCCAGATCAGAAAAGTGGAAGTCATAGATTTCAAACTGTGCAGGATCTGGAAGCTCTGTTTTCTGGAGGGAAAAAAATTACATTTCCTGGGATAAGTTCCACAGCTGAAGCAACAAGCATTTTTCCTTCAGTATTTTCTATGTTAACATGCCTGTGCACAATTGACATACAGATAGGAGCCATCATAGCATACGATCCAAAACCACAGCAATATGCATGCACATGATCAAGAACATGCCTGAATCAAGCCTCAGAGTCACGTGCCCCCCAACTCCCTCTCCCACTTCCGTCTCTTCCTCCTGTGCAGGCAGAACAAAGACTTCCTCAGAGTTCAGTTTCACTTTCCCCTAATCTTGGTTTACCATTTTGTGCAAACCAGGGATCATGGTTTATCACAAACTCTGGATAAACAAGCTTTCGGGGTTGGGAAATAAAATTGTTTCTGCCATCTTTGGCCTATTCTTAATAAAATTAATCAGCCATAATGCATGAGAGTTCTGCACTTTAGACTTATAAACTATTGCGAGAAGAATATAAGCCAATGGCAAATCACACAGGAACTCACTAGGATTTCTGCCAGCTCTTCCTCATCACATTCAGTCACCTCTTTGCCAAGTTTCTTTCGAGTTGGCTGTGGAGACAAATGTGCATTAAAGGTAGGACTCTAAGCACTCATTGATGGACCAAAACATTTTGGTACATGAGGCAGAGAATCCAAACTGCAACCCCACAAGCACACACACATTGCTTCCTGTTAATGATCTCTTTCAAATGTTTAGCTTAGAAAAGAAGCAAATAAGAGGAGACATGACAGAGGTAAGGAGACCTTTTCCTTCTTTTCCCATAATAATAGAACCCGGAGGCATCCCAACAAATAAGAGAGAGAATATACTTTAAAGGTCATACCAGGATTGCTTGGATTTCATCCTTGCTACATTGCACATGGTAGAGCACCATATCCTGTGCAATATCCTTCCGATTCTCCAGTTTATTCATCTTATCATAAGTATCAGTATTGAGCACAGACCAGCCAAGAAATTGCGTCAGGGACTTGGAAAATAAAACGGAAGTCACAGAAACAGTTGAGCAGGAGTTGACCCATCTCTAACACCTAGATCACCATTATTAATAAGCTCAAATAGTATTCATGATATGTATTCATTTTGCTTCAAGTTCAGGGAGGCTAATCTCATGTATGAAAAGCAGACTGGCAATATCACAATTTTTAAGAGGACAGCAAAATACAATAAAACATTGCAGAATTTAAAAAAAAAAATACAAAGAAATTTCTGGAGGAAAAAAATGTATGTACAAAGACACAGACATTAAAAACAGAACCAGCAGTTCTGCTTACAGGCTTACAATCTAAGAAGATAGAATGGGACTTTTTAAACAAGGGGAGACCAACCATTCAAGATAGATATGGGCACTCAATGGCCCTCGTTGCACTCCACCCAAGATGCCATTTTAAATTTGATTTTTGGCACCTAGGAGATGTGGCAGCTGGCAATGGCCCCTGAATATCCAACAGCTGCCCCAGATTTAAGAAACAGGCTTCACCTTATTCCTCAGGTAATCTCAAATAGCTATTCCTTTGCCTGCTACTACTTTATTTATGACTCTTAAGGAAGCAGGACTCTGCCAAATAGGCTGACTGCTTATTCCTACTGTTGAACATATTGCAGAATTGTGTGAGCATTCATTGCAACAACTGCCTTTCAGAAGATACATGACATATTTTAGCTCCAGTGAATCAGCCTACCTCCATTAGGGTTTCATCCTGTTCATCGAAGGGCTTTCCATCTTTCCGGTTGTAAAATGTAGCAACACCTACAATTTCTTCCTTTTTGTTTACTATTGGCATGGAGAGGACATTTTTGATGGTCCAGCCTGAGTCATCAACAGGTCCTTCCTTAAAAGAGCAGCATGAGGGCATGAAACATGTTAAGTGCTTTCATGCATGTCTCAATACAAATAGTACACTTCATTTATTTAGCACTTTTATATTTCATCTTTTAGCCGCACAACACTCTAGACAGTTTACATAATAATTTGCATCCACAAACTACTGATAGGGGCCTATCTACATCCAAAACTTAAATGGACTTTAGTCATCCCTTCTTGGCAGGGGGACCCCTATGAATAGCCATAATCACATTCTTGTCATACCTGAAATGTAAACATTTCATCTGAAGCAGCATTCATAATGTTGCAGATCTAGAAAATGGCAGAGATGTTTTGTTAATATGCACACAACTGTGTGCTGATTGTTTTGTCATCTAAACTCAAAACAGAATTATTTAACAACTTAGTTGAAACATTATGGCTTGTACACATGTAAAAGCCTTTTCCTTTGAAGACCACCTAGGTCATACTTCAGTCTACTTTGAAGTTTTAGACACTTCCCATATTTTCAAATACAGCCTACTTATGTTGGTAGTCATACATGGCTCTTTAGCTCTTGACCAGGTATCTTGATGAGATATGAAAACATGTACATATAAATACTTACAAAACCAGTTTCTGTGACATAAGTTGGGAGCCCACTTGCTAGTGCCCAGTGATCTGCCTTAGGATTTCTGAATGGAAAGGAAAACACATGAAAACACTGATGAGATGGGCTTTGGTTACAGGGGAAATTACAGAAAGAATTATTATTTTTTTGTTTGTTTTCAAAAGTAATTTTTCCTGATATTAAATCAAAGGGTGAATTGGCACCATGTGGCAACCCACACAGCATATAAACATGTTCCTCATGGACCTGCATCCATGATGCAAGTTATTCATGAACTCCAGCAGACAATCACCATGGGTTGTCCCCACTCCTTTCCCCTCAGCCCTCCAGCAGGTATCCTGGGGGGACTCGATGCGTGAAGCTACTTTGTCTCCTTCCCTTGCTCTGTTTTTGGTCACCGCCGCAGCTATTTCCTTTTTCTCCCCATTAATAATCTTTCCACAGTCTCTGTCAGTGACAGCCCCTGGAACCCCCTACAAACTGGCTAACTGGCATATTGAAGCAGTCATCACTTGTTGACCACCTTTTAAATTTTTTAGGCACCAGAAATGGATGCAACTATTTTCATACTTTTTTCAAAAGGGCGTTTGCAAGTGTGCTCGTTCATATTTGTAGGAGACCAAAATGAAAAGTCTTGCCTACTCTGTGTCGTGGCGAATGCCTCTTGTCAGAGTTTGGTAGGTACATAATTGACTCAGGGTGCAAATAGTTTATTTTGTTAATTTGCTTCTCACTTGGTAGTGTCTAAGAGCAAGCTGTCAATGGAAACACAAAGCCACAAAAAGATCTTTGCTGTGAAAAGGGAAAAGTGTATCATCCCCTTCACAGTGAAATCCTCTAGTTTTTAAGTGTAAACCTGACAGTTTTCAAAGTCCTTCAGTTTATCCACCCTTTTCAGAGCACTTGATGAGCTCAGGAAAAGGTAAATGAATTTTTGACAGCTGTCAAATGAAAGCTTTTTGTGTGTGTTGAAAGTAGCCTGTTTCACTGGGCTAAGCAGGGTTTTCTGACAGAGAAATATGCAGCCATGAAATCTGCCTATTTTCATGTATACAAATATTTGTTCGCATTTCTGGCAGCTAAAAACAATTGTGAAAGGGAGAAAAGATGTGGAAACAACCGAGACCGAACCACTTCAGTGCCTCTCTTGGGCATTGCTGGAGGAAATGTCACTGCCTCCTTTTACCCATTTAAACAATCACCACTGCCACCACCCTGGGAAAGTGCCCTGTTGCCTTGCCCTTTGTGGTTGGCTTCTTTTTTGCAGACTGCCACATCAGAAACCACTTGATGCGCATCAGCCCTGAGCCATGTTTTGGCAATGGCAGCAGTCCATTTGTATAGTGACTGAAACTATTCCTAGAGATCCTGAGTCACACCCCACCCGGAATAATGCAATATGTTCTACATGGGCCTATCCTTGTTCAGCCTGTCCAGAAGGCTGCAGCCAGGGCTGGTTATAGGAAGCACAGATTACAATGGCTCCACTGGCTTTTGCTCCCTTTCCAGGCAGAAATCAAAGTGCTGCCTATGACATATAAAGCCCCATTCAGCTTGGGATCAAGTTAGCTCAAGGCTGCCATCTTCCATATGAACCTTAAGATCTTTGGGGAAGGCCCCTCACTAGAGACTTTGTTCTTTAAACACTATATCTCACAGATTCTGTACACTTTCTTGTGAAACACCTTTGCAGTCTGCCCAGTGTGATTTGACACTATGCCCATGAGGTTATTTCATTGTACTTACGGGATTACTTTAATTTCTTCCTTTCCATGTAAAACATAATCAATAACTTTATAAAAGACAATCTCCTATAAATAGAACAGAAATGGAAGTTGACATTTGTAACAAGAGAGCAAATTGGGAAAGGGGCTCTAGCTCTGCTATGGGAAGACTTACTCTGCCATCTGGTGTTTGAGGCCCTGAATAAGGTGGAACTTCACCCATTAGAACTGGCCAGAGGTCAAAGAATTCCTGGAAAAGTAGACAAATGTAATCACCCAAATCAACCAAGCTTCACATGCTAAAAGTTGTTTTCTCGTATAATTTTTATTGATGCATCTTTTGCCATTCACAAATATCTACAGTAAACTGGTAAACATCACAAACTGTTTTGCATTTTACTATTTATTTATTATATTTCTATCACACCTTTCTCCCATTGTGGAACTCAAGGTGGCTACATGCCTTTCTCAAGTGGTCTCCTCTCCAAGGTCAGGCCAGGCCCGGACTTGCTTAGCTTCAACATGGTGGATGCCTTATGTGCCTTCAGGCCATATAATGTAGGATTATCAGGTTGGCATTCCCAGACTATTCTATAGAAAGCAAGTACACTTCCACTGTTACTTGGGAGCGGCTGGAAAGTCCTAATCTGCTTAGGACCCTAGCTTACCTTGTGTTTGGTCATATCCAGAAGGCCAACAGAATACCTTTCACAGTTCAAATATGCTCTCACTGTGTAAAGTGCTTTGTGAAATTGTCTCTCAATGTCAGTCAGTTCCTCAAATACCTTATTGGCAGACCAGAGCAAAACCTGCATAATAGCAAACCAAAATGTCAGTTGTCCAGACAGCCTACCAGATACAGGAGTACCATTTCTGATTCCAGGCTTGGGTGCTGCGATGAATAGGTTTAACTTCCAAAAGGGCAAACGAAGGGCAAACAGAGCCAGGAAACAAGATGCATCAGGGTTTTAGACAGTGCAGAAATTGATATGCTTGCAAGTAACGAAGCTGCAACAATCTGGTGCGTGAGTGTGTGTGAGAGAGAGAGAGAGAAAGAGAGAGAGAAAGAATGATTGAGAGAGAATGATTGAGAGAGAGGAACTTCCATAGAATGGGTGAGGAACCTCAGGCCTGGAAACTAAATCCATCCGTCCAGGTTTCCCCAGATGGGCCTATCCCTTCTTCTCCAACTAGCAATCTTTAAGTATATTTCATTCCATCCCCAATGCCTTTGGCCCCACCTCTTTGTCCCCACCCTCCACTGGAATGTGGCTTCTAAGAGTTTCTTCAAAATGGAATGTGGCCCTTGGGCTGGAGGGTGTTCCCCACCCCTGTTGCAGATGGCTGGCTCCTAGTGCTGATGATCAAGAGGGTATTTTTTTTAGCAGGGAGATGTCCTTCCCTGGTCTGAGTGAATCTTAAAACCAAAAGGGGAGGGAAAAGACAGATGTAGCCCTCTTCCATGTGACCAGTGGTCACAGCAAGTTCTTCACCTGTAGGATGCATTCAGCTTCATTACTTGACTTGTATGCATGTATACTAGCAAGAGATCACTCGAATGAACCTTAAACTTGTTGCTTCCTTCTTTTACTCCCATGCTTTGGGTGGGGTGTCTGCCTTTAAATGGTATGTGTTACGTGTGTTTAAATGCACATATGCTTAGTTTAAACTGCTCCTGCCACCTCCCCATAAAAAGGGAAGGTTCATCTGAAGGTGTTAGCTAATAGGTGCTCAACAGCTTGTTCCTCTCTATCACCCCAATTTGAAAAGGCCATTGTTAAAATAGAAGGCTATTTATCTAATTAAGGTCGAACCCTGAATAAAAGTAACAAAACCATCTCCAAAAATAATTTCCCCCTTACCTGGCCTCTTCGAGTTTCACAGTTGTGAAGGTAGCTCAAATGATAAATTTTTAAGTTCAAAGAGGCAAGATTGAGATACTTCAGGAAAAGCTGCGAACATAAGAAAGCTGTGATCAGTTCATCAATGCATGGCAATGCTATAACATTTATAGACAGAGTTTATCGACAGAGATCTCCCTATAGGTGACATTCTTACTTTTTCATCTGCAGTGCTGAAATATGGACCTCCGACCTTATTCACAGCCATGATCACTGCAACCACATCCTTGCCATTCATGATTGGGGTTGCCAGGATGTTCCTTGTGGTGTAGTCAGTGAGTTCATCTACAAACTTACTAAAATGATGGCACTGGTATAAAAAGAAAATTAAAAATCAAGTAGAAGTTCATTTGAATCCCCTAAAGAAATGGAACAGAAAAGTTAGCTTTTCTTCTCTCCACTCAACCCAGAATATCAGAAGTACATGAATAATATTTGTTTGTCCTTTTTATAATATTTCAAAAATTCTGTTTCAGATCTTGCTGCCCTGTTATGTAGATTCTGTCATCAAGGTTGGCAATGAAAATGGAATGAGCATTAAAAGGGGACAAGAGAAAGCAGGTCACACTCACCTGCCAGCAGGTGAGGGTTGGGGACGCCTAGAAAAGATTCATTGGAGTACAAAGTTTAGGTTAAGTTGAGGTGAACTGATAAAGTTTGCAGCTGGCTGGAAGGTAGGAAATATTCCTGGAGACAGAATCAACTGTTTGGATTCCTTATTGCTTGTCATACTTTTGGGAATGACACTGCCTTCCTGTGCTTCTGTAATACCCCCATTGCATGTATACTTGTAAATAAAGTCTTAGAGACACCACAATAAACTAGCCATTATCGCAAGTAAATTACAGAGTTAAATCTGACTAGAATGCCCATAGCTAAAGACAAGGGAGAATATAAAGCTGGTACAGCTAAATGGTTTTAGTTATCTGTGGGATAAACTATTTGTTTGCCATGATCCATGATGAGCAAATGATCCAGTTATTAAAAGAATGCTTATCAGTGATGTAATCCTAGACAGCATTTATGGATTGTAAGGATTTCAGATTAGTAACTCAGACTGCAGTATGCAGGCTTGAAAAGACACAGTCTGGATTTTATTACTGGAAAGAAAGTGTTCATTGTTTTATGCCACATCATGGAGCAAACAATCCTTGCTTTGAGAAATACTGTTTTAAGATCAGTACCATTACTTTTCCATTGCTCAGAGTGCACACTGCATACATCTGATTATGAATATAAATGTGTAGTTTCAGTCATACTCCCTGTCAGAGGCCAGTTTTCCCCTCTTCTCCTTCCAACCAGATCAAGAATTGAGGTTTCTTTCTACAGTGTTTATTATATTAATAACAGGCAAGCCTTGTGATACAAAAGGAACAAAAGTCACTAACAAATGACATTCATGAAATTAGAAGGCCTGCTAATTAGGGAAACAGAGCTCATTTGAAGTAGTGGATTCCACACTTAATCTCTTCCCAGCCAAAAGAAATAAACTCCCCCTTCAGGGTTGTTCCTACTGCTTTTGGTCCAGGAGGCAGGAACATCAGATACCACTCAGTTAGCCTGTTCATTTGATCTGATGCCAAGCTATGGTGCGGGTCATGTTACATCTGCCCCACTCTGCTTCTCCCAGTTCCTCAGTGTTTCTCCCATAAACAGTGTTTCTCCCCAGTTTCTTGGCTTTTCACTGGGCCTGCTGGCCTTGACATTTAAACCACCCTTTCTGACCCCTCTTCTTCTTCCAGCTCTGACTCAGATTCTAAGGTAACAAACCGGAGAATCCAGCCTAGTCCGTACATTTCTATCTTCATAGTAGCACCCCTAAAATTGACTATTCAAAAGAGTAGTCTTGCAGCCATATGAAATTACTGGTTATTCCTTTGGCTATTCTTCCTTAGTTCTTGTTAAACTTGCTGTTGCAAACCACTGGCTGCCACCACCAGCAGTGCCTGCTCCAGGGTTTGGAGGACTGTTGGGTGAGACACCTCTGGGGAACCCTTCACTCAGTGATTCTGCTTTCTTGCCAGCATGGTCCCCAGCTGCTCTTTCTCCTCATTGCTACCTCTTGCCTGATTGAGAGGAGGGAGCCAGGGAGCAGGCAGGCCTCTCTCCTGGCCCTTCTCCTCACCACCACCACTTTCTGGGCCAGAGTGAGAGGCATAGACAAGTCAGTTGCCATGGTGGAGCACAGATAAGGGGAGCCAGGGATGCTCAAGTTCACTAAGATTCTCCAGATGCCATTTTAACGCTCAATTGGTGTCACTCTTAGCAAGCTGTTTTCATTTCCTTTCAAAAGGGGATGAGTGCATTGGGAAAGGGGAAGGTGCATGTTTTCAGGCACATTTTTCAAAACTGCACTCACCCATTTTTTAAATGCATCTCTTAAAGTGCCCCCCCTTTTTTTTCAAAATGCATTTTTAATGCAATCACAAGTTGGGAGAACTGCAAAGTTCTTACTGAAAAACATATGCACCTTCAAGATTACAAAAGCAGGTGAGTTAGAATGACTTGCTAACTGCAACAACATTCTCATACACCCCTGTGGTGGAGAGGAAGGACGACTCCAGGGGATTTTGTCAGTGCACCCCTGCTAGGATGGGGACCCCCAATAGATTCCTGTCCATCCCAGCCCTGACCAGCATCACTATCCAAATACAGCAGGCACCGTGCAAAAATTAGACACTGATCTGCTCAGGCACTTCTATTTGAATAGCCCCAGCACAGGGGCACCTGGTTAAAGAACCAGTGCCTCTTCCCAATGTAAAACTTGTGCAACCCTGTTCTTTGGCAACAAATTAGGCAGCTTTACCTCTCCAACATTCTGGATGTTTACCGTCTTCTTGGTCTGAGCAACGTGCCCAACCACACCAAGGTCCAATGGGAAAACAATTTCACAGTCAGGGGGCACCAGGCATTCCTCCATGGTGCTCTCCTTATGAACATTGAAGAGCCGAGTGGCAAGCTCCGGCGTGCTGTTCCGCTGCCTGTGCATGAAGAGGCTGCAGCGGTCCGCATGGATCAGAACGCTAATTCTTCTTAGGGTCTTGAAGACCACCTTCTCCATGTTGATGCTCTCTTGCATGTCTTGTATCAGCTCCAAGAGCGTTTCGCTGTCATCCTCCTGGCCCGACCCTTCAAAGCCCATAAAATCTTCAGAAAGTTGACCCGAGCTTGGCATTGCCCAGGAGGTCCCGTCCAGCATTTTCTTCTCGAAATATTGCTTAGTAAAATCTGGATTGCTATCCAGAAAAGTTTCCACTTCGTCTTCTTTAATACTCATGGCAAGTGATTTGGAGACTCGTGTTTTGTTTACAAAATTTTGGTTCCAGAAATACTGCTGTAGGGTAGAAGAGAGAGACAGTCTTTCATGAAACAATTATCCATCAACAGGCTAATGTCCAGGCTGAGCATGTGGGATGGAGGCAAATCTTCTCAAGCAAACAGATTAGATGGCCTGTTCCATAGCTGTAAATAACTCTCTCTTCTCAGATGTTAGTCCAGCTATTATAATTTGTTATTTGGAGGGATTGGTTTGCTGCCATACACGGACTGTGTTATGTTCCTCATTTTCACAGCAACTTATGTGCATGTGATTGTGATTCCACCCACCCCAGTTGTGTCCCTTAAGAGTGAAGATATAAGCTCTCTGAAGCCTAATTAAACGAACACTGCTCAGTTCTAATCCTTAACTAACCAGGGGAATATCTTATTATTCTTGTTCTCAAAAGGAGGGGGTATCAAATAAAACAAACTAAATGAATTCTGTAAAGGGGCTGGTACAGAGTGCCTCAGAGGTTGCCTTTACCTCAGCAAAGAGACAGATGTCCTTTAGCAGTGGTTCACCTCTGTTTTTTGTATTGGGGCGATTAATTAGAGGAGGCAAATTACCAGCTACTTATGTTACTGTTGTTGTTTTTCTTTTAAATTATAGACACTGTGTGGATGTTCTGCTTATGGTAAAAATACCCTGGGCCCACTTTGGCCTGGGTGTTTGATGTACTTTGGATAAACAGTCATAGAGCACAGATGCATTAAAAACAACAAATACCATATTTCTTGAAGTACAACTTCCCCGAGACTTATTCAAAACGGTGTTTATGGCCTCCAGGGGCAGCAGGGGAGAGGAAAAAGTACAAATTGTATAAGTTGTCAACCATGTTTATAGTACAACATGAAGCCATCTGGTGGCCATTTAGCAACCACAATAACTGGCTGGGTTTTTTTGTGGGAGGTGCGATCTCTTTCTATCATGAAGACAGAAGCCATGATACACCCTTTCCCCCTCCATGTTGTCCTTCCTTTTGTGTCCCATCTTCTTTTACAGAAATGTGAAAGCAGTCAGTGGCAGCGTGATAAATGTTGGGAGTTCTTCATGAAAGTCCCAGCAGCCACACCACAATAGAGGGTATAAAAGGCCAGACAGCTCTGCTTGTCCCTACCAACAAACCTTTTCTAGCGGTCTTCATTGCCACAACAAGAAAGTGTTTTATGAAGCTCACGGGTTTGTCTTCATTGCCCATACATACTCAAGCCACTGCAGGACGCTTGGCATTGCAACATGGAACGATATACAGGGTGGGCCAAAAGTAGGTGTACTGTACTGATCAGGCCAAAGAGGACCTCACACAGTGGACAAATTGGAACCATTATCCTTCATCTGCCCTTCGAAAAAAAATTAATTCCAAAGCTAAACACCACATTTTTGAGGCAAAATAAAATATCAAATAAAAGTGTGAATGCTAGATTTCTTCTTCCAAGCATTTGCTGACATGGGCGCTAACTGGAATTGGTGTCAGTGTTGGAGTCAGGTTCCAGGAATGTTACAATTTTGGTGAAGGACATTTCAAGCACCTAAGAGACTAAATATGTGGTAGGGCATGTATATTGCTGCTGGGAAAATTAATTTTGCTCCACTACTGTGAGGATAGCAGCTAAGCTTGGAGGGAGGAGGGAATGCTTAGGAGGATGGTGGATGACCCGCATTATCCCTGCTAATAAAAATGTTAAAAATGCTGGCCCTACTGTACCACTGAAGGCAATCTCGTAATTCTTTCAAACTTTTCAAAGTGTGTTTGACTGCAGCAAAACATCAGAATAATATTGAGAACATCAACGGTTTTCTCATAGTGCCTTCATTAGTATAGTGGAGCCAAAGTCTGCAGCACCAAAACCTTTTTATTAGCAGTGATGCTGACAACATTTGCCACCCCCCACTCATATTTCCTCATTCAAATCCCCCCACCCCAAGTTTTGCAGGGTTTGGAAGTGCAACAGAAATGAAACACCCCTGCACTGAGAGCAGAAGTGGGTGTGTTTGTACTGTGAACAACAGCAATTTGATCTCAGCGTTGACACACTATTACTTCAGCCCTGTTTTGTCTATTTGTTTTACACTAACAGAATGTGAAGGGATCTAGCATTCAGACTTTTATTTGATATTTTATTTTGCCTCGAAAATGTGGTGTTTAGCTTTAGAATTGATTTTTTTCAAAGGGCAGATGGAGGGTAATGGTTTCAGGCAATAGCTAGGATAACCGCTCCTTTAATGCATCCTTTGCTTTTTGCAGTTCACACATCTGCCCTGCAACTGTAAAAATCTACAGTGAGTAGTACATACAACTGATGTACAGGAAGTTTTAAAACAGTCTGGCTTATTCTGTGTTCAGGGTGATATACACGGAAAAAGAATCTCAAAGACTCAAGTGCAAAAATGCTCATTTATGAACGTGTCTCGTCCCAATATGTCATTTCTTCATCAGCACCATTAGGTGGCAGCATAGCACAATGAAAGCTAGCCCACCACCTGCTTGCAATCTCTCTCTCTCTCTCTCTCTCTCTCTCTCTCTCTCTCTCTCTCTCTCTCTCTCTCTCTCACCCTCTT